GGCAGTTATCATTCCCCAGACCAGACCCCTGGCAGTTATCATTCCCCAGACCAGACCCCTGGCAGTAATCATCCCCCAGACCAGACCCCTGGCAGTTATCATTCCCCAGACCAGACCCCTGGCAGTTATCATTCCCCAGACCAGACCCCTGGCAGTTATCATTCCCCAGACCAGACCCCTGGCAGTAATCATCCCCCAGACCAGACCCCTGGCAGTTATCATCCCCCAGATCAGACCCCTGGCAGTTATCATTCCCCAGACCAGACCCCTGGCAGTTATCATCCCCCAGACCAGACCCCTGGCAGTTATCATCCCCCCAGACCAGACCCCTGGCAGTAATCATCCCCCAGACCAGACCCCTGGCAGTTATCATCCCCCCAGACCAGACCCCTGGCAGTAATCATCCCCCAGACCAGACCCCTGGCAGTTATCATCCCCAGACCAGACCCCTGGCAGTTATCATCCCCCAGACCAGACCCCTGGCAGTAATCATCCCCCAGACCAGACCCCTGGCAGTTATCATTCCCCAGACCAGACCCCCGGCAGTTATCATTCCCCAGACCAGACCCCTGGCAGTAATCATCCCCCAGACCAGACCCCCGGCAGTTATCATTCTCCAGACCAGACCCCTGGCAGTAATCATCCCCCAGACCAGACCCCGGCAGTTATCATTCCCCCAGACCAGACCCCTGGCAGTTATCATCCCCCCAGACCAGACCTCCAGCAGTTATCATCCCCCCAGATCAGACCCCTGGCAGTTATCATCCCCCCAGACCAGACCTCCAGCAGTTATCATCCCCCAGACCAGACCCCCGGCAGTTATCATTCCCCAGACCAGACCCCTGGCAGTAATCATCCCCCAGACCAGACCCCTGGCAGTTATCATTCCCCAGACCAGACCCCTGGCAGTTATCATTCCCCAGACCAAACCCCTGGCAGTTATCATCCCCCCAGACCAGACCCCTGGCAGTTATCATCCCCCAGACCAGACCCCTGGCAGTTATCATCCCCCCAGATCAGACCCCTGGCAGTTATCATTCCCCCAGACCAGACCCTGGCAGTTATCATCCCCCCAGACCAGACCCCTGGCAGTTATCATTCCCCCAGATCAGACCCCTGGCAGTTATCATCCCCCAGACCAGACCCCTGGCAGTTATCATCCCCCAGACCAGACCCCTGGCAGTAATCATCCCCCAGACCAGACCCCTGGCAGTTATCATTCCCCAGACCAGACCCCCGGCAGTTATCATTCCCCAGACCAGACCCCTGGCAGTTATCATCCCCCAGACCAGACCCCCGGCAGTTATCATTCCCCCAGACCAGACCCCTGGCAGTTATCATCCCCCCAGACCAGACCTCCAGCAGTTATCATCCCCCCAGATCAGACCCCTGGCAGTTATCATCCCCCCAGACCAGACCTCCAGCAGTTATCATCCCCCAGACCAGACCCCCGGCAGTTATCATTCCCCAGACCAGACCCCTGGCAGTAATCATCCCCCAGACCAGACCCCTGGCAGTTATCATTCCCCCAGACCAGACCCCTGGCAGTTATCATTCCCCAGACCAAACCCCTGGCAGTTATCATCCCCCAGACCAGACCCCTGGCAGTTATCATCCACCAGACCAGACCCCTGGCAGTTATCATCCCCCCAGATCAGACCCCTGGCAGTTATCATTCCCCCAGACCAGACCCCTGGCAGTTATCATCCCCCCAGACCAGACCCCTGGCAGTTATCATTCCCCAGATCAGACCCCTGGCAGTTATCATCCCCCAGACCAGACCCCTGGCAGTTATCATCCCCCAGACCAGACCCCTGGCAGTAATCATCCCCCAGACCAGACCCCTGGCAGTTATCATTCCCCAGACCAGACCCCCGGCAGTTATCATTCCCCAGACCAGACCCCTGGCAGTAATCATCCCCCAGACCAGACCCCCGGCAGTTATCATTCCCCAGACCAGACCCCTGGCAGTAATCATCCCCCAGACCAGACCCCCGGCAGTTATCATTCCCCCAGACCAGACCCCTGGCAGTTATCATCCCCCCAGACCAGACCTCCAGCAGTTATCATCCCCCCAGATCAGACCCCTGGCAGTTATCATCCCCCCAGACCAGACCTCCAGCAGTTATCATCCCCCCAGACCAGACCCCCGGCAGTTATCATTCCCCAGACCAGACCCCTGGCAGTAATCATCCCCCAGACCAGACCCCTGGCAGTTATCATTCCCCAGACCAGACCCCCGGCAGTTATCATTCCCCAGACCAGACCCCTGGCAGTAATCATCCCCCAGACCAGACCCCCGGCAGTTATCATTCCCCCAGACCAGACCCCTGGCAGTTATCATCCCCCCAGACCAGACCTCCAGCAGTTATCATCCCCCCAGATCAGACCCCTGGCAGTTATCATCCCCCCAGACCAGACCTCCAGCAGTTATCATCCCCCCAGACCAGACCCCCGGCAGTTATCATTCCCCAGACCAGACCCCTGGCAGTAATCATCCCCCAGACCAGACCCCTGGCAGTTATCATTCCCCAGACCAGACCCCTGGCAGTTATCATTCCCCCAGACCAGACCCCTGGCAGTTATCATTCCCCAGACCAAACCCCTGGCAGTTAGCATCCCCCCAGACCAGACCCCTGGCAGTTATCATCCCCCAGACCAGACCCCTGGCAGTTATCATCCCCCCAGATCAGACCCCTGGCAGTTATCATTCCCCCAGACCAGACCCCTGGCAGTTATCATCCCCCCAGACCAGACCCCTGGCAGTTATCATTCCCCCAGATCAGACCCCTGGCAGTTATCATCCCCCAGACCAGACCCCTGGCAGTTATCATCCCCCAGACCAGACCCCTGGCAGTTATCATCCCCCAGACCAGACCCCTGGCAGTTATCATTCCCAGACCAGAATGATAACTGTACATAGAATACAAATCTACTCGATTTCTATATCGATAGTTAATAACCCAACAGCTGGTCTATTTATATATTTAACACCAGTCTACCAACGTTAACAGAGAACACAATTTAGCTGTTAACTTTGCTATTCAAATGTTGAAAATAACGTTTGACAACGAGACCGTAGAGAGAGAGAGAGAGAGACGCGTTAGTGGATCACTCGCAACACTGAGCCTGGAAGCTCGTATTTTAATTATATCTCCGCTAGTCAGGTATTACCGGAGGGGGGGGGGAAACACCTGTTGTTTTCATACAAGTTGTGTAGCTTACCTTTTGACCTTTGTGTTGTCGCATCCAGCACCTCGCACACACCTGGTATGACACGCTCCTTACACACCTGGCATGCCACACCCACGCTCCCACACACCTGGCATGCCACACCCACGCTCCCACACACCTGGCATGCCACACCCACGCTCCCACACACCTGGCATGCCACACCCACGCTCCCACACACCTGGCATGCCACACCCACGCTCCCACACACCTGGCATGCCACACCCACGCTCCCACACACCTGGCATGCCACACACACCTGGCACGTCAATGCCAAGAGGAAGATGGCTGTAAATTATCAGGTCATCAGATGTGACAGAGAGGAGACACAGAAAATGACAGGGAAGTATGTGAGAAACTTAACGAAAGCTTTCGGGAAGTGTTCAAGCTGAAACCTGAGTGGCCACATTAGAGCTTAGACCCGCAAGCTGAACGGGGAAATTCCACAGGAAAACTTCACTCAAATAACAGTGTGACACCAGAAGATGTAAAGAAGGAACCGCAGGAACTGGGTGTGACAATCATTGGGACCGGACAAAATATCGCCCTGGATACTAAACGAAGCAGCGGAAGCATTGTGCAACCCACTTGCCACAATATTTAATTCCTATCTGGAAACGAGGAGAACTTCCCGACTGTTTGAAAATGCCTGAAGTGGTGCCACTCCACAAGACAGAGGGAAAAGATAGTTACGCTACAGACCCGTATCAAATGAACACATCCACAAGGGCCGTGACGAGGATTCGAACCTACGTGCGAGATCATCCCAGACGCTGCCTTAATCGACCCATATCATTAACAAGTATCCTTCTGCAAGTTACTAGTGAACCGAAGCAGGTTATCTTGAGGTTATCTTGAGATGATTTCGGGGCTTTAGTATCCCCGCGGCCCATTCCTCGACCAGGCCTCCACCCCCAGGAAACAGCCCGTGACAGCTGACTAACACCCAGGTACCTATTTTACTGCTAGGTAACAGGGGCATAGGGTGAAAGAAACTCTGCCCGTTGTTTCTCGCCGGTGCCTGGGATCGAACCCAGGACCACAGGATCACAAGTCCAGCGTGCTGTCCGCTCGGCCGACCGGCTCCCCCTAGTAGAACATCTAGAATTTCTCAGTTTTGTCTCGAGGTAACAGCATGGTCTTAAGTAAAGGAAAACCCTACTTGACAAACTAGCTGGAGTTATACAACAAAATGACAGTAATCAATCATGAGAGGGATATGGGGGGGGCAGACTGCATGTTCCTCGGCTGTCAGAAGGCATTTGATACAGTCCCGCATGAAAGACTATTACACAAACTAGAAAAGCAGGCTGGAATATTTACTGCTAGATGAACAAAGGTATTAGGCAAGCAAGAAGGAATCGAACTCAACCATTTCCTGTTCCGGATCACCACTACTATTGTTTCCGCCTCCGCCGGGGATCGAACCCGGCACCTCCTTCATTCTCTCAGCTTCTCTGTTTCCACTACACAGTTGTGTTGAGAGTTGTTAATGTGTTGTAGATATGACTTGAGTATATTTACCTTAACATTATCACATTTTCTAGCATACCAGGAAATTGTCTCGTGTGTTTGAGGATTTCAATGGTTGTTGGGTCGAGATGATTGATGCTGGGCTTATCTCCCGAAGTGGGTGATGCTGGGTTCATCTCCCGAGATGAGTGATGCTGGGCTCATCTCCTAAGGTGGGTGATGCTGGGCTCATCTCCCGAGATGAGTGATGCTGGGCTCATCTCCCGAGGTGGGTGATGCTGGTCTCATCTCCCGAGATGAGTGATGCTGGGCTCATCTCCCGAGGTGGGTGATGCTGGGCTCATCTCCTAAGGTGGGTGACGCTGGGCTCATCTCCCGAGATGAGTGACGCTGGGCTCATCTCCCGAGATGAGTGACGCTGGGCTCATCTCCCGAGATGAGTGACGCTGGGCTCATCTCCCAAGGTGTAGTGTAGGAGATGAAAGGCATCACTGGGAGAGAGAGGCGGGCTTGGAGAAGCCGTCATCACGGATTGTGATGTTTGCTGCCACTTCTGGTGGCCGGGACCCGTTTCCAGAACATCAGAATGTTGGGTTTGATTGCATTCACTTCCCCCTTGTTGGCTGTTACCTTGGCTGTTAAGCCCTTGCTCGTTCAGGTTCGGATCCCACTCACCTTTGATGCCAGAAAACTCTCCTCTAACCTCTCCAGTGCCACTTTGAGCTTGTTAATCAGCGCTCTGATGTCATTCAGACTCTCCTGATTGTTTCTCGACTTCAGTCGACATTTGGGGCTGGGATTTGTGCCTAAACTTGTATATTTCCCGACAAAGCATTGTTACTCTCAAGTCTTTCCTGTTAGACATTGTCGTCTTGTGCTGCGTCGGCGTCGGCGTCTTTCTGGTGGTGGCGTCTTAGCAGCTGGGTTGACGTCGCTTCTGTAAAGGTCTACACATTTCCGGGCTTAAGTTCTTGAGCTTCGAAGCTTAAGTTCCCGAAGTTCCGAAGTGCGTCATTCAGCCTCAATTCAGCGTCATTCCTCCTGTGACTAGCCAGCCTATACCAACGTCCTCTTGACTTCCCAGGACTTCCCGTAGCTGACAGACCTGTCACTTCCCCGTCTGACGTCTTCACAGAACTTCCCGTAGCTGACAGACCCGTCACTCCCCCGTCTGACGTCTTCACAGAACTTCCCGTAGCTGACAGACCCGTCACTTCCCCGTCTGACGCCTTCACAGATCTTCCCGTAGCTGACAGACCCGTCACTTCCCCGTCTGACGCCTTCACAGATCTTCCCGTAGCTGACAGACCCGTCACTTCCCCGTCTGACGTCTTCACAGAACTTCCCGTAGCTGACAGACCCGTCACTTCCCCGTCTGACGCCTTCACAGAACTTCCCGTAGCTGACAGACCCGTCACTCCCCCGTCTGACGCCTTCACAGAACTTCCCGTAGCTGACAGACCCGTCACTTCCCCGTCTGACGTCTTCACAGGACTTCCCGTAGCTGACAGACCCGTCACTTCCCCGTCTGACGTCTTCACAGGACTTCCCGTAGCTGACAGACCCGTCACTTCCCCGTCTGACGTCTTCACAGAACTTCCCGTAGCTGACAGACCCGTCACTTCCCCGTCTGACGCCTTCACAGAACTTCCCGTAGCTGACAGACCCGTCACTTCCCCGTCTGACGCCTTCACAGAACTTCCCGTAGCTGACAGACCCGTCACTTCCCCGTCTGACGCCTTCACAGAACTTCCCGTAGCTGACAGACCCGTCACTTCCCCGTCTGACGCCTTCACAGAACTTCCCGTAGCTGACAGACCCGTCACTTCCCCGTCTGACGTCTTCACAGAACTTCCCGTAGCTGACAGACCCGTCACTTCCCCGTCTGACGCCTTCACAGAACTTCCCGTAGCTGACAGACCCGTCACTTCCCCGTCTGACGTCTTCACAGAACTTCCCGTAGCTGACAGACCCGTCACTTCCCCGTCTGACGCCTTCACAGAACTTCCCGTAGCTGACAGACCCGTCACTTCCCCGTCTGACGCCTTCACAGAACTTCCCGTAGCTGACAGACCCGTCACTTCCCCGTCTGACGCCTTCACAGAACTTCCCGTAGCTGACAGACCCGTCACTTCCCCGTCTGACGCCTTCACAGAACTTCCCGTAGCTGACAGACCCGTCACTTCCCCGTCTGACGCCTTCACAGAACTTCCCGTAGCTGACAGACCCGTCACTTCCCCGTCTGACGCCTTCACAGAACTTCCCGTAGCTGACAGACCCGTCACTTCCCCGTCTGACGCCTTCACAGAACTTCCCGTAGCTGACAGACCCGTCACTTCCCCGTCTGACACCTTCACAGAACTTCCCGTAGCTGACAGACCCGTCACTTCCCCGTCTGATGCCTTCACAGATCTTCCCGTAGCTGACAGACCCGTCACTTCCCCGTCTGACGTCTTCACAGAACTTCCCGTAGCTGACAGACCCGTCACTTCCCCGTCTGACCGTCTCGCTAACGAAATATCTTCGTGGAAGCGAAAAATAAGGACCAGGCCAAGTGCGTTAGTTGGTCCGGCTTCGCTATTTATATGTAAATCGCGGACCATGCTAATTTTCTGCACCCCACATTCTGCTGAATGAGTTATTAGGAATCCGCGAGTTTTATAAATGGTCTGGCCGGCCGCCGGACATTTTGAAAACTTGATAAAGTGCATCAACGTTGACTTTGTAAGAGTGGAGTTAAGACCCACATCAAGACAAGTGGTTTAGTCGTAATTGAAGATAATTGACGTGAGTATAACTAGAACAATTTCACTAGACAGCACCAAATTTATGTAATACAATATAAAGAAATTTCTTCAAGCAACCCGTTCTCGCAAATTTAATAAGTCAATATTGACTTATTAAATATGTGCATAGGTGACATACTTAACATAATAGATACCCTTAAAAAGATTCATAGAAAACACCGACCTTACCTAACCTTGTTAGTATCTTAAGATAAGCATGTTATTGCTTCGTAATTACAATTATTACTTGACCTATACCTATTATAGGTTAGGTAATAATTGTAATTACGAAGCAATAAGATGCTTATCTTAACATACTAAGTAGGTTAGGTAAGGTCGGTGTTTTCTATGAATCTTTTTAAGGGTATCTATTATGTTAAGTATGTCACCTATGCACATATTTAATAAGTCAATATTGACTTATTAAATTTGCGAGAACGGGTTGCTTCAAGAGACGTGATGAAAGAAAACGGAGCTGGAGACTCAAAAGCCGCAGGGAGGACTGACCTAATAAATACACCCTCCCCCCCCCCCCAAAAAAAAAAAATATAGCATGATACAATGGATACAAATTTCATAAGTTTGGTTTCAGGAAAGACCTGGTGAGATGCTCCAGGACGCTCCTGGACGCAGGTTCGAATCCTCGTCACGGCCCGTGTGGATATGTTCAAGACCTTGTAAGTACTGGTGTGAAAATGAAGTTGTTTCTATGTGGTTTTGGGTAACTTTTATTTGGGCTGTTTATCTGGACCATTGCACAAGTTGCATCTCCTGGACCAATAGGCCTATTGCAACTTCCTTAAGTCTTATGTTATTAAGTTTTATATGCTACCTGAATACGATTAAGGCAAATGGGGAGGGGGGGGGTAAGAGAAATTTGACAAGCCGCCGGCTTCCTGTCCTCGTCAAGGCCCACAAGGGTTAGTAGCCCCTCAGGTAAATCGGGTAAATACCCATGTATAACCTTGTGTACCACATATGTGGAATTATGCAACATCAGCTTAACATATTTACCTTCAGCACATAACGAAGCTGGAGAGAGTCACCAGACGCATGCCACCAGACTGGTACCGGAGCTGAGAGGTATGGCATATGAGGAAAGACTGAAGAAATTAAGCCTCACGTCCGTGGAATATGACAGCTGTATAAGGGAAGCAATTCAGGGGAGCCGGTCGGCCGAACGGACAGCACGCTGGACTTGTGGTCCTGTGGTCCCGGGTTCGATCCCGGGCGCCGGCGAGAAACAATGGGCAGAGTTTCTTTCACCCTATGCCCCTGTTACCTAGCAGTAAAATGGGTACCTGGGAGTTAGTCAGCTGTCACGGGCTGCTTCCTGGGGGTGGAGGCCTGGTCGAGGACCGGGCCGCGGGGACACTAAAAAGCCCCGAAATCATCTCAAGATAACCTCAAGATAACCAGAGGACTGGACATGACAGGCATGAAAGAACAGGTTGGCACATGTGGCAAACGAATAAAGAAACAAAAAGCTGGTAATTGAGTTCTCAACTGATCCAGAGATATTAGAAAAATGTTGACCAGACCACACACTAGAAATTGAAGGGACGACGACGTTTCGGTCCGTCCTGGACCATTCTCAAGTCGATTGTGGTCTGGTCAACACAATCGACTTGAGAATGGTCCAGGACGGACCGTCACGTCGTCGTCCCTTCACCTTCTAGTGTGTGGTCTGGTCAACATACTTCAGCCACGTTATTGTGACTCATCGCCTGCATATTAGAAAAATGTTTCAGCGTCAAAATAAAGGTCATGAATGATGCGCTGGGATGCGAAGTGGCGGAAAAAGACCTTAGATGTAGCTTCAAATGTTGCTTCTTTTTTTTTTTTTTTGGTAATCAGACTCGGGAACGTGAGCAGAGTTGACTGCATGTTTAGCCGCGGGTCGCAAGAGCTGAAGCTCAACCCCACAAACAGAATGACGTGAGCACGCACACAACATACCAGTTGATTGACAGTTGAGAGGCGGGACCAAAGAGCTAGAGCTCAACCCTAGCATGTACAACTAGGTGAGTACACACACACACACAAACACACACACACACACACACAGGGGCCTCGTAGCCTGGTGGATAGCGCGCAGGATTCGTAATTCTGTGGCGCGGGTTCGATTCCCGCACGAGGCAGAAACAAATGGGCAAAGTTTCTTTCACCCTGAATGCCCCTGTTACCTAGCAGTAAATAGGTACCTGGGAGTTAGTCAGCTGTCACGGGCTGCTTCCTGGGGTGTGTGTGTGTGGTGTGGGGAAAAAAAAAAAAAAAAAAAAAAAAAAAAAGTAGTTAGTAAACAGTTGATTGACAGTTGAGAGGCGGGCCGAAAGAGCAAAGCTCAACCCCCGCAAAAACACAACTAGTAAACACAACTAGTAAACACACACACACACACACACACACACACACACACACACACACACACACACACACACACACACACACACACACACACACACACACAAACACACACACACACAAACACACACACAAACACACACACACACACACACACACACACACACACACACACACACACACACACACACACACACACACACACACAACACACACACACACACACACACACACACACACACACACACACACACACACACACACACACACAAACACACACACAAACACACACAAACACACACACACACACACACACACAGCGACGATATAGGCAAAACAAACCCCTTGAGAGAGCGGTAGCGAACAAATGCAAAACACCTCCAGGCCTTTTGGAAGAGAAATGTGTGAAACACTAATGAACAGTTCCAAAGTATGTTTATGCAATCTGAGGTTCTCAGAGACCAAAACACCGTGTCAATTCCAAACACCAAAGAGTACATAGAGGTGTCTTGAGACGAAGTGGGACAAATCACTCAAGGAACCAGGAAGAAATAAAACAGTTAGACCAAATGGAGTTTCACCTTGGGTGCTGAGAGAATGTGCAGCTATGCTAAGCATTCCACAGTAATTACTATTCCAGCCAACTTTGTATATAGGAATCTTAGCAGATATATGGAAAAAGTCAAACAGTACCAGTCTACTATAAATGGTAGTAGACCCTCTAAACAGGTATCATTGACAAGCGTGGTAGTCAATCCACTAGAAAAAATATACTTAAAACCACATGGACAGAACACCTGGAGAGAAATGATTTAATAATAATATGGTTTTCTAACAGGAAGATCCTGTGTAACAAATCTACTTAATTTTCAAGAGAGAGCCACAGAAATTCTACAGGAGAGCGATGGTTGGGTTGGCTGTCTTTATATGGACCTAAAAAAAGGAAAAAGGTCCACACATTTTAGACTTTTAGAAAAGTTTAAAAAAGGCTTTTGAGAAGTCCCTCACAAGAGGCTATTTTGGAAACTACATCACATTGCAAACTCTTCACAAAAAGCAAAAAATCATTATACGTTATCATAAAAGTCATGTTTTAATAATTTCATCCTAATACTGGCAACATTTTTAATATGTTCAGCTAATCCAATTTATTTTGCAAGTAATTATGTTCAACATATTTCCTAGCGTGGGGAAAAAAAAGAGGCATTTATATAATGTTAATCCTATTTGAATTTGGTTCATTATTTTATGCATGTTAATTTATATGTGCAATATATTAAATATTAATAGTACTATTAGGCTTCCAGATAAAATCATAAACCCATTATCTAAGAAATAATGGGGTTGAAATAATACTTTGAAATAATTAAATAATACTTTGAAATAATTAAATAATACTTTGAAATAATTGAAAAATACTTTGTATTATTATTGAATAGAGTATTGTTCAATAATATGCAATACAAATTATTATTTGTATGATATAGTATTAAAAAAATACTTTGAGGGGATCACAAACTTCTCAAAGTATTTCAGCACCATTCATATAACTTCAGAAAAAATATCATTAGGCTCTTGATACGTGTTTAGAACGTATTAATACAGGAAAATAATGATTAAACTGGATGCAATTAGAACCAAATCTTCAAATTTGGTTATAATGGAATTATAATATATAATTGGAATTATTATAATTCCATTATTTGGTTATAATGGAATTATAACCAAATTTGAAGATTTTTACCTTATGGTCACCAAAAAAAGAGAGCCTCTTTCAGATGCAAAAAAGTGGCGATCTAGTCACAGCCTTCTAGTCACAGCCGTCTAGTCACAGCCTTCTAGTCACAGCCGTCTAGTCACAGCCTTCTAGTCACAGCCGTCTAGTCACAGCCTTCTAGTCACAGCCGTCTAGTCACAGCCTTCCAGTCACAGCCGTCTAGTCACAGCCTTCTAGTCACAGCCTTCTAGTCACAGCCTTCTAGTCACAGCCTTCTAGTCACAGCCTTCTAGTCACAGCCGTCTAGTCACAGCCTTCTAGTCACAGCCTTCTAGTCACAGCCTTCTAGTCACAGCCTTCTACTCACAGCCTTCTACTCACAGCCTTCTAGTCACAGCCTTCTAGTCACAGCCGTCTAGTCACAGCCTTCTAGTCACAGCCGTCTAGTCACAGCCGTCTAGTCACAGCCCTTCTAGTCACAGCCTTCTAGTCACAGCCTTCTAGTCACAGCCTTCTAGTCACAGCCTTCTAGTCACAGCCTTCTAGTCACAGCCTTCTAGTCACAGCCGTCTAGTCACAGCCTTCTAGTCACAGCCTTCTAGTCACAGCCTTCTAGTCACAGCCTTCTCACAGCCTTCTAGTCACAGCCTTCTAGTCACAGCCGTCTAGTCACAGCCTTCTAGTCAC